GCTTATGCCTTTACTGTCCACCTGCCCCTTTGTCTGACTTCCAGCCCAAGATATTCTCAGTTGGATCAGGTGACAAGGACTCTTTTCACAGGTATTAATGTGCGAGAAGGGCCAGCAGAAAGCTGGCAGAAGCAATCTTGCCGTTCTCCCATAACAAAACACATACAGGAAAAGGGAACTGGCAAGTAACAGCTTACAGTGACCAGAAGAATCTGAATCTACTGTCCTGGAGTGTACTGCAAATGCACAAGATCTGTGTGCTGAGACCAGGAGGCTTCAGAGTGGGAATAACAACAGGCAGGGCTGCTTTATTTGTGCCTTAGTCCTGCTAAGTACACTTTACAGTACTTTCTTTTGTGCCAGCTGAAACCTCCAATATTCTTCCTATGCTACAATAAGGCAGAATTCTTGGCATGCTTCTGCATCCAAATACAAACAGGGTTTTCAGATTTAAAACTACAAAACAATATAAAAAAAACCTAAGAAGCTGTTTGGAAAAGAAATTTTTGAACTTAAGCCTGACCTATTTTTGATGCATAAATGCCTCTGCAGGTCTTTCAGAACTAAAAAGTTGTGTTCCACTAGTTCTGCACAACTGGGAACATAACATCATTGTTCAGTGACAATTTCTCACTGTCATTTATAGGCAGAGTGCTGAGAGATCCAAGACCTATTTCTTCCTAGTTCTGCAGAAGAACTGCTGTGTGACATCAAGCAAATTATTTAACCTCTCTGAGTCACAGCAGTTCTTATCTTTAGAGTGGTGATAACAGCAACCACTTGCAACTCTCACATTATTGACAGCTGCAAATGCTTTACAATCAGATTCTGGAGGCCTGTATGGTACTAACACACAAAAATGATTTATGCTCTTCAGCACTCAGGAGTACCAGATCCAAAGGGAAGTGCTTCCTAAGGGAAGATTGACATGTAAGGGTTTTGTGATAAAAAGAAATATTTGTGTGCACTCACCCGCTCCTTTATTTTTTCAGTGAGAAAAGGCTTAATTAGAGCAAAGACTGGGTGGAAGAATAAAGGCTCATTAATCAAGTGGATACCCCGTACTTTTAGTGGAAAGGAATCCTGTCAAAATACATGAAAAACAGCATAAGAAAAAGAAAACTTTATTGAAAAGACCCTATTGTTAAGGACAAGTCTGTGAAAACTACCAAGTCCATAGGTTAGAGTACTCCCCCTGACCTTGCCAATTTCTGCATTTCAGAGTGTTCTTAATTTACACTGCCCCAACAACACTTAGAAAAATCAAATCTTGCTCCTCCCATTAGAAGGAAAGAAAAAGCAGTATGAGAAGATGACTATTTAAAAAAACAAAACAAAAAACCAAACCAAACAAGAAAACCCTCACCAAACTGCTCAATAAGTAAGGGACACAAAGCTTGTGCTCAGCCCTTCTTCAGCAGTACAATTCTTCACAACAGAAATTCTGCTGCTGATTTACCAAAAAGCTATCTAGATATGTGTCTTCATTGGCAATTCACAGCCTGAAGGATAATATGTAAATATAAACGATTGAAGCTACTTAAATTTAATAAATTATATTTGTAATTTATAGACAAGCCTTGAAGTTACTGGAAATTTGCCCAAGCCAGCAGTTGAGCTTTACAGCATGGTTACTGTCATAATGAAAATAAAAACTGTATCTGCTATACAGCCTTTAATACGAAATACTTCTACCTGCATTCAGGATTAATTAGAAGTCCCAAACCTTTGAAAGTTAAAAGTACAGCAGTGCTCAAAGACAGCATTATGCAATGGGGAAAAGTATAGCTTCCATTCATACTCTACTAACAACACCTCTACAACCAGAGGTTTTCTGCTTATAATAATGGTACTTCTCACAAACATTTCTCCTCACTAGTACAGTAGCTCTTCTCACATTATTTCATGCACTCCTCTATGAATTAAAAAAAAAACAAACAAAACAACCCCCACACACTCAAGTGCAACTCCTTTTGGATTTTAATGTATGATAAAGACCTTAAAACTATCAGATTATAGGTTTACTGCATGTTATTATATGTTTATCATATACTTAAAAGTCTACTATCATGTTTTTCACAAAACAATTTGGTTTTGCCTGGGGTAAAAGATTTTTCAAAATTATGTCACTTACTCATCTTACTATGCTTTCCTTTCCTTCATTAATATGTATTTCCTTTCTATGAACTTCTGTTTCTTCATACAGGATAGTAATTTGCAAGACATTTCTTAAGGAAAACATAGGGATGAAACTAAGGTTCTTTAATTTTTACTTATGGAGCACGTTGAACAACACTAAGACAATCTCTGGGTGAAATATATGAACCCAGTTAAAGTGATGAAAGGAATAAAAAAAAAAGTTAAACTTATTTCTCTTCTTAGAAAAGAACACTGGAAATATCACCTTTTTTTTTTCAATAGCTATAACAAATTTAGAAGCTTGAAAACCATGCAACAAATTTTTAATAGGTCAAGGTGGAAACACCATATTTGAAGAATTTCCTGGTTCCAGATAATGGATTGAAACCTCCAGACATAATTACAAATCCTACCTTTTTTCTGCTCTACTTCAAGGTTAAAAATTACTAGCAGCTTGTTTAAAACCTCAGAAATCAACAGAAACACTCTCATACATCCTGTTCTCATGAGATTTGGCCCAGAATCGTATGAACATCAAGAGTCCTTATTCTAGATGTGAAAAGTTGGAAATACCTGCTGGTTTCACTGAAGTTTTACAGTAGATAGCAAAAAGGAAGAACAGCTGTAGTTCTGATGATATTAGTTCAATGACTCAGCTTTGACTGAACCTCGTATATGAACCATACCAAAACAAGAGCCAATAGATTATCTCCCTGGGTAATTTCCACGTCACAGGCTAACAGTTTCATTATTACTGATTTTCAACCTTGTTTCAGAAGTAAAATGAGATTACAGGACTACACTGGAGCTTGTGTGTCACTTCTCTGTCCCCTTCTTTTTAACTTTTCTTTTTTTTTTTTTTTTTTCTCTCAAATCCACTGGCAAATTTCAACCAAATTTGACAGAAAGGAACAAGTCTCAAAGACAGTAAAGTCCCTACAAGTTTTCTGAAAAACAGGAGGTGAGGTAGCAGTGAATTGCACAAAATAATTCTCATGTTGGGGGGCAAAAAGCAATCAGAACATAAACATACATTCTGTTGGTAGCATCATCCATACTGGGAAGAAGTTAGTACTGTTTTGCTTTTAACTCTTAGCGCACGCTATTTTTCAGCTTCTCTGAGTCTCAGGAAAAAAACTTTGAATGTTGAGTTAATAATACACAAAAGAACGGAAGAGAGGAGATGAAATGGGGTAACAAACACAGATCCTTATAAAACTGGGCTTCATCTACTCTTATGCTCATTTCTTGTGTTGTAACAGGTCGGTAGAGTTCTTAGAAAACATCAGAGGTTAAAGGGCATTCACTGCTATAGAAGAACATATTTAAATCAAATTAAGCACAACTTATGCCAAAGCTATCAGACTTTTAATGGATTTAAGATTTTGTTCTTTCAAGTTACATAGACTCTAAGGAGGTCTAAGGAAGGAAAATTTATCATAGCTGAAAGATAGACCAACAGATGAAAATTTGGGAGTTACAGCAATGAAGAAGCATAAAGCAGAATGTCATACTTACTGTGAGCACAGCAGCAATTTTCTTGGCCACTGCTGGACTGATCTGAAACGCATGAGCAAATCGCCACCCTTGAAGATCAAAGATAGCCTTGACTCCATTCCGCTGAGTCTCAATTTCCTTTACAATGAGTTCAGATGTGATGAGACTTACACGAAACACATCATATGCTGTAAATAACTTGGGATCCCATTGTCCTGAAGAGTAAATAGATTGCACTGCATTACCATGAGGATACCATACACACCTATATAAAATTTTACTTACTACTGCTTCTAATATGCTTCTCAGGAACAAGAAATAACCAGCAATATCAAAAGGTCCTGAAATAAACAGATTTGACAGTACAGAAAGGTATTTTGTGTGCCTGCTATGCCACTCATCTTTTAAACTCTTTTTGTAGATGGTACCACCTAATGGTAGATGGTTGTAGATGCCACTTAATATAATACGTTCCACCTATAGCTGTAGTCTTCAGTACAAGGTTTTGACAAGAACAGCTTACATCAGTAACAGTCACACTAGCAGAAACTAAAGGTCATCAATCCAATAGATTAATTTAATTTTTCTTCCGTACAGTAAGTCTGCCAAGATTCAGTGAATCCCCCTTGTTTTTCTGAGGCCTGAGCAACGAATTACATGTGATGAGCCTTAACCCTAGATGAAAGCTTCAGAGAGCAAAACTTTCTACTAGACCAGCTGATAATAAAACGTTTCTTTGAAAGTTAGCAAAAATAATACACCTGTCCAAAACAAGCACAGAGAAATATGATAACACATAATCATTTAACTAGATTTTTTAAAAAGACTTTTGAGAGTGCATCAAACAAGCCAAGGACCTCAAGAGTTTTGTCAGATAGGTCTCTTTGGCTACCTGTAAACAGTGAAAACCCAGTGAACTTCACATCTGCATCTAAAATGAACACTGGTACATAACTAGGCGTACTCGCTCTTTTCTGTTCTCCCCCCTGTGCTGGATCTGCACCAGTACCAGAGTTTTAGCACATAGCTTTGAAAATTTGCATCAAAACAAATAATTGTTAGGACACTCAAACCCGAATAACAACATATTCTTAAAAGTTTCAGGCTTTTAAATTTAAGACTTCTTTCACTGCAGACAAGAATTCCACTAAAAAGCAAAGTTCTTCATAAAGGATTGTACAGCTTTAGCCATACCAGGATATGTCAAGTGATATAACTGTTACAGCTCAATAACTCACCTTTATATTAATGTAAAGGTGTTTCTGACAGTGAACATGTTACTTTTCTAGTTCAGACATTCTGATATTATCTGTTGTACCCATAAAATACTTTTATTTTGCTGAAATTATGATAGTTAAAAAAAATAATCACAAAACAAACAAAAAAACCTCTAACAAACCACAGAACCAAAAACATCAGTGCCAGAGACAGGTGTGAAACTGGTCCAAGCAATTTTGTCACTCACCAATTCTGTATATTAGAACTTTGCTTCCATGTGGGTCCCTTGATCTCAGGACTCCATGATAGCCAACATGCAAAAGACCAAGAACAGAAGCTGGTCGTAAATCTGCACTTATTTCTGGGCATTCAATTCTCCACTTCTGGTAATTCTTCAGTAACTGGAAAGAAATAAACGTGGATGTCAGGTAAGCATCAGGTATTGCATGAACAGCACAGTTAAAAATGTTTTCAACATGTGGTTACAGTCAGATTTAATTCATTAAATTAGCTACAATTTCATTGTACATTTTAAGCAAATCACTCCTAGAAGCAGAAGGTTGCCATACTCATCAAATAAGTGAGTGAGTTATGATGAATTTAGAACCCTGTCTAATTGTTAATGGACTACAGCTGTCATTTTCAGTCAGAAAAAAATGGGATGTGTAGAAAAAGCCTATAGTTCCTATGTAAAATACATCTAAACCCCATTTTTCTTACTCAGGACACCTTTAGGATTATTCAGTTTGATACTGCATCACATTCATTCAGGATTTCTTGAATTTAAATGTGCAAAATTTTACAGAGGAACATTCTCCTTCACCCACGTGACCCCTCCCATCTCTATCCCCCTGCCAAAGTATGGGCACATTTTGTACACACAGTCATTAATAACTCCAGTTTACTATTTGAAACAGGTATGATCATAAGCATACCCAAAGAACACTTTCAAAGTACCTCCTATCCCTTTGAAATGGCAGAATTTAACAAATGTAGTGGGTCCATTAATCACTAGACAATTTCCTTCCCCTAAAGTGGAAATAATGAGAACCTGTTTTGCTAAAACAGAGATCCTGTCCATTATCAGGGACATGATCACCCTCATTCCTAAGGCTGGAAGGCAGCATTGTAAACTCGTATGTCTAAGGCACAGGAAGAGCTGTGTGTTGAACGACAATGGCCTAACTCTAAGGAAGAGTCAAAGGCGTTCCTTTCTGAGGTACATCTATGTAGAGGAATTACAGGTGATAGTGTGAAAGGTCATCTTAGAGATGGATCATGAAAAATTAAGTTGGTGATGCAGTAGTTCTAATTTCCAAGTCTACCTACTGTTTCTCCTTCAATATTAATTAAGTTGTGGTGGAAAAAATTAACTGCTATGCCCTGCAACTAAAATTTAAGACATTTTGCACAGGTAAGTGGGAAGCTATGCAAGCCTATCTTCTAAAAAGCTCCCAATTCATCAAATAAATTCTGCCTCTGCTGTATCACCCATGCTAAATTCTCTAGCATGGAGTCTGGAGGGTAGAGGGATAACTATGGCAAGTAATTTAGATTATGTATTAAATAGCTACAGTTTAGACTTCTAACCGGAGACCTTCAAAGGAGCTAACAGTATCAGAATTTTTCAGCACCTCCTTTCACAACAAACTAAAATGTAAGTTTAAAATCTTAAAAGTAGCATGCACAGGCTAGCCTTTCAAATTGTTACTGTATTTCATCAAACAGCAAAACACAGTCTGATCCTGAGCAGTTTCACAAACAAAATGTGTTCACCACAAGGAAAACACAACCAACGGTCTTCTATTTCTGTTAATTTCTATTAATGGAAATTAATTTTTATTCTGTCACAACAAACATTAAGGTTTAAAGAACTGTCAGCTCCAACTAATAAAACATAACCTTAAATAAATTACAAATTTCTTGTAACTATGCAAGTATTATTTTCTTTACCATTTTCATAGAAAGAATGGTCAGAAGGAATCTCAGTGGATCGTGAATTCATCCTTGGAACATCACAGCATCAGCTATGCTGCTGCTTACCTACGGAGTCCTGGAGGGAGACCGGAGACTCACCACCCTGTACTTCATAGCATGCTTATATTAGATAATGTCTTATATCTTACCCTTCCCTCTACTTTCAGGTTCCTTATATCATTTTACATAAAATGTGTACTTTTTCTTCAGCTTAAGGCTTTTCTGCTCAGATGAAGGTCTTGAATTATTGCAAAGGTCTCTCAAATTGTCATGAGGAAACTATTTATAAGACATTACCGTTTGTCAGAATTTACTTACGAATAGATGATATACTGATCAGAAGTTATCTACATCTTTCATGGAAATAGCACCTATAAATATGTATTTAGGTACAAAAATGAAAGAGTTCATCTGCCACACTAGAATCCCATTTGATTTGGCAATGAGAAAGTTGATAAAGCCTCATCCTAAACCATACACTGCAGAAAGAAACACTTAACCATTGGGAGAATTTTATGAGAAGTCTTTTGACTGCACTGAATCATTTCTACTCCAGGCTAACTTATTGTGGAATAGAAATGCAATAAAATTGCAAAGATAGGCCTGTTGAGGTGCTCTGATTATCTCACTGTTAGTGCTTGACTCTCTACATGTAGAAAGGGCACCGTTTGAGCAATCCCAACTGCTTTGTGCCAACCAGACAGCACTGTCAACATATTACGTTCTTCTCCTTGGTCCTTCCAATATAGACCCTTAAACAGAAGCAAAATACAAAAACACCCTCAAAACAACTATGCAAACATCTGTATAGTTTTGTCATTTCTCCCTTTTCTTCTAAAATCTGTTGTACCACAACTTAATGAACCTAATTAATTACATAAATATCTGAACATAAACAATTACATAAATATCTGAAACATCTCTTTGAAGTGCTGCCTGCTAAAACCACAATGAGAATAAAAATGATACATTAATTCAATCCTATCTTGTCAGTATAGTTAATTTCTCATTTTCATGAATATTTACATTTTCCAAGTTGAAAATAAGGACCTTGGAAGAAAATGGAGAGGCCATTAAGGAGTAAATATATGACTGGAATATCTCTGACACCTTTCATCACGTGGGCAAGTGGTACATCTTTTAGACACATAACATGGCTAAGCTCTGAACATACTTCAGTTGGCCAGAAAGCCATGAAGTGCTGAAGAGTTCTCAGATTTTGAAAACCTAATCTAACTACCTGAAATGATTCAGAGCCAAAGTAAATCTTAGCATCAGATAATCTTCCACACCATCTACAGGTAGTTTTGGGACATATTCTGTAAATTTTTATGTAAACAATCCCTTTCTTAGCAGCTGGACGTACTCAAGTCACACACAGCTACTTACATCACTAATCCTTAAACATATAGTAGAATTAAAAAAAAACTAGTGGTGGGTACTTACAGTTTTATTTTATTTTTTAAATTTCAAGGAAAAACATAAATATTATATATAACAATCAGTCTGGATATTGAAGATGAAGCAAGCTAGTATCAGGAAAAAAAACCCCATTCATTACCTAATATAAAAAATGGCTCATTTACTTAAAACTAAAACATCTCAATGTATAATTACCAGTTACAAACTGAATAAACTACTTAGCAGCAGATCAGCATCTGAAAATAGATGAAGGATAACTCGATAAATGGGGAAAGCTGGATAAAAAGCTCCAGTGTCTGGAGTTAAGCATTAATTAAGAGTTTTTTCCTGAGGTCTGCTGGGGATAGTTCCAGATTTCTGAACATCAGAGATGATAAAGTTACTGATTAATCCAAGATTCATGTGCTACAAAATAAAGTGAACTTAGTACTTTACTTAGAATTAAAAGAACACGAAAACAATGTGCTTGTTATAGAAACCAAGATATCTGTACATTTAAATTAGTATTTTTTTCTTGATTAATAACTATTCATATTGACAAGGATGATAGACAGAATTAGGCCTCTATTGTGTCAGCAGCTGTACTCAACATACACAATGTTTAAGAAAAACATATTTTCTATTGGCAATCTTTGGATGAGAAACCAACAGCTCAAACTTTAGAATATGCATATTATATGCATACACATATGCACACACATGAACACACACCTTTGTGCATACATTTTATTTTGCATATATATATATATATATATGTGTGTGTGTGTGTCTATAGCTACACATAGAATTTAAACACATGGTATACACAGACAAAGAATTTATAGAAACATAGTACTTTCCCAATTCCACATGCATTACCTCTTTGACAGTTAGGAGAAGACTGGCACATTCAGAAGTTGAGACACTTGGTTTAGCACAAAGGGAAGACTGGCTGACTGATATGTGTTCCCTCAACAGTCAGCCCAGAAAGCCTAACAGGGGCTCTTCCATCCTTTTTGAGGAATCCCTCCGTATTGATGGAATAAAAGCAGCCAATTAACATTTAAACTTGGTATTTATATTTGAATGATGTGAAGATCTTCAGAGGTAATGCCTGAGACTGTGTGTTTGACATTATGGAAAACAATACTTGTACATAATAGTTATTCGAAGTAACTTATTTGCAGTACAACCCACTAGGAAGTCTTGATTCCTCTAAGTCAAATGCAGAGCAACGACAAAGTCTAGCTTTATACCCTTGTATCAACCAGAACTCCTAAATATTTAGACAGTTTTGAGTGCCATAAAAGCGATGCTTACAAAAGTCTAAGTGGTATGTTATGAAAACACCTCTTGGCACAGAGTTTCAATGTTGCATTTTTACTGAATTTAAAGATTTTCATTCTTTTCCTCACAGTATAATCTATTTCAAGTATAGAAAGACAGTATCCCCAAGTCACTGAGAATTAGCCTTTTATAAAAGAGTTGTGGAATGTAATACAAGCATATAATAAAATGCACTAGGCAAAAAGATTTACGGAGGAAAGGAGATGCTAGTTCTCCAGATTTTACATGTCACTACTGAATCCAAGTGACTGTTTTTCATCACAACAAAGTCAAACATACACACATAGGGGGTACTTTAAAAAAGGGATAAATAAACCAATTGCTTTAGAACAATTAACACAGACCTGAGGCCCTGCTTCTCAGTTTACAGCAGATATGGTAGGTGGATGCATCTGTACAAATCAATGAGCAAAGAACACGCTCAGCTCAGGTACAAATTTATATCCAGACTGAAAACTTTTGCGGCATTAGCATCTCACCCACACCTCTATCTCTAACAGGGATTACAAAGGCCCAGAAGATGCTGTAATGATACAACACTGTTCCTTCTGAGTGTTACTTTTTAGTAGGTAGGTAAGTATTGCCTACAAGTCTTCACAGGACAAGAAAATGTCTTAATTACCTATTGAAGGTTTATTGTATTGTTTGACAGTTATTGTTAGTCTGTGTCAATGAACTTTCTGTTCATTCCTAGAGAAAAATGTCTGCCACTATTTCATGTAGGCTGTTATAATATTTTCTAACCAATAACGTTAACGCATTTGAAATCCTTTCATGGAAGTTATCTGCTCTAACTTCACCTTTTCTTCTGGAGTATGTACTTAAGTGGTTTGGGATCATGCATATACTTCCAGACACTTTCTAAGATAAGGCACTGGGCCTGATAACAGTCTGTTATTGAGCTTAATTTAATAATCATTGGCTTTAAAAAAAATACAGACAGTTCTAGCTCTTCTTCGATTCCAACTGTTTCAGTGGTAGATTTTCTTCTAGCAAGACATCTATCAATACATCTGTACTTGAAAGCAAGTCTGAAATTGCCACTGGAAAAATGTAAAGATTGCTGTTGGAATGAGTTGTCATAAAAGATTCTCAAATGGAATGTCTTGCCACAATCTATCTGATTATTCTTTTCTGAAACATTTCCAAATGTTGATAAACTGAAATCAGATAAATCTGTGTCAAATATTAACCAGGGAGGCATCAATGAACAGTCTAGTCAGTTGCCAGACTCTTGATTCATATTTAAGGCTAAGTATATAAGCCCATACTAAGAAAGATACTTGACAAGATCTTGAAGACCTTTGATTAAAAGCACTGACCGAGCCACAGACTTTGATTCTCCCTTAGCTGCTCCAGAAATACCATGCTGTAGTACACAGGAGCCCAGTGGGCAAAAAGGGACTGTATCAGCCTGAACTCCACACTAAGAGGCAACAACAAATAAGGACTGATAGCAGGACAGCTCTGTCTAGGATGAAATATTAACGTAACCTCTGCATGAGGTCAGACTTGGGTTAGATGAATATACATCTTATGACCACCACATATTTTTGCACAATAATTCTCTTGGGCTTTAATATACCAACTGCAGATAAACACATTCCTTTTAAAAAAAAAATAAATAAATAAAACCCCCCAAACACTTATTTTCTTTTCCCATGCTGTAAAAGGAGTAATCTAGAAATCAGTGTCAGCTGGTTTGTGAAAGATTAAGTACAAGTAGCTATGGCATATGGAGAGCTGAAATTCTAGATGGAAAAATTAAACACAAATGGTTTTAGAACATCAGAATCTCTTAGTTCAAAGAAGGGTCCAAACAACAAGTTTAGAAACTTAGCAGCCTATGGAGACTCAGAAATTCTGAACAGATTCTGAAAAAATTTAATTCTTCCAAACAGGTCCCCAGCCCTAGAGGGCTGATTCTTGAGAATAGTATAGGAAGTTTGCTACTTCATAGACTCCACCTCTAAACCTAGCTTAGATTCCACACTCCTGAAGATTAGTGCTGCCTACAAGACATCTCACAATTAATCCCAAAAAAGTGCAGACATGTATGGGCCAAATTCTGAAGTGCCACTATTCTGTCTACAGGATTATCAATAACAACCAATTGCAATGCAACTAGGAATGCATATTTAGGAGCACATACTGTCTTCATTAAGCCCTAATTTTTGGAACCAAGGAATATAGGAAAACAGAGTGGCTTTTGTTAGAAAAGAAGAAAAGGGCATGGTCCTACAACTGTTAGTGCACATCTGATATGAACAAATCTCATGAACTTCAAGCAAAAGACCTGTAAGTATCCAAAGGAATCTGGCTTGACTTGCTAGTGCTTCTGCTGACAAAGGTTTAAAGCTATGATGCAAGTCTTATGAGCCAAATGAAAAGAATAAAAAATAAAACATCTAAAGCTCTTTATGATTAAGGGCTTAATGTAATTTCTCACAATTCAGCTACCCTGATCCTACAATATATCTATGGGCAAACAATTTTTTGTTATGGTTACTAAACTTGGAAAATACAGTGCAGAGAGGTCAGAAACTTAAAAGGTGAGGTCTGTTGAGCAATGCTGTTTCATCAACATCGAATTTCACTAATACACAGTTTCCAGTCGGTACAAGTAAATAAATGCTTTTGCCCTGGGAAGATTTGGAAAGAAGTTCAGAAGAGTTAGTAGTTGTCAGTCTTTCTGTAAAAAATAACAGTTTGTACCTGTGGATATTAAAAAATACGCACACGCTATCTGTATGGCAAAGGGCCATACAAACAGCCAATAATGTACCAAAACTTAACAAAGCCTGAAAGCAGAGTGTTGTAAATTACTAAATGTCAAGAGAAAGTAAGTTTTTACTCACTGGTTTTTGTTAGAGTAAATATAAATCTGCACTGAAACTAATACCATCACTAGCAACAAGTAACCTGAGCTTGATAAACATGATCGGGATATCCGTTAGCGGATATTGCTTCCTGACCGGAGTAGTGACCTTACCACACTTACCTTAACCTCTACGTATAAGGTACACACAGACTACACCACATTTAGCATAACCTTTACGTTAGCTCATCGAGACTGCACGAAGCCAGCCACGATACCGCTGAGGACACGCGTGACAAGCAATTAGTGACGTTCTGAAACTCCGTGCTTGGCCTCGGCCGACCCAAGCCGCCCGCCTCAGCCGTCCGCCCCCCGCCATAACCC